CGGGCCATCCTCGCGCAGTCTCTGTGGTGTGGAAGCCGTGCTGCCGCCCACGAGGCGCCCGCCGATGGCCGCCCACCGAGCGAGGCCTCGCTGGCCCCGCGCAGCGCACGGGGCGCCCACGAGGCGCCCACGACCGCCCACCGGGCGAGACCTCGGCAGGCCCACCCCGCGCGGCGAGGCCTCGGGCAGCCTCGAGGGTGGAGATGCGCGCGGGTCGCCCGTGCGGCGGGGGCCCATGCCAAGAGGCACCCCGCTGGCCCCTCCCTGGGTGTCTCGGGTGTCGATGGCCGTCGCCCACCGAGCGAGGCGCCCCCTCGAAGGTGGAGATCCGCGCGGATCGCCTGTGCAGCGGGGGCCCATGCCAAGAGGTACCCCGCTGGCCTCTCCAGGGTGCCCTGTGGGTGCCTCGGGTGTCGATGGCGCTGCGGCGGGGAGCGCGGCGCTCCCACGCCGAGGGATCCAATGGGCGTCCCGGGGTCGCAGGGTCTTGGGTGTCCTGTGGGAGGCTTCTTGTGGTCGGGCCTCCACGGCACCGGCGCGGGACCCCCCCTCGCAGGCGACGCTTCTGGCGCCGTCCCTGGTGCGCCCCGGGGGCCAGGCAGGAGGGTCCAGCGTCGTTCAGGAGGAGGACGAGGAGGAGGAGGAGGAGGAGGAGGAGGAGGAGCAAAGAAGTCCGCGCGGAGCTGCAAACGTGGTATGCTTTCGCAGTGTCTGTGCAGTGCTCTTCTTCTCGTGAGGGTGCAGTGCTTTGCGAGCCGTAGATGCCAGAGCTGTTGGCCGTGGCCCCTGAAGAGCATCGTCAGTTTTCCACTTGATGGGAAGGATACTCCACGATGCCAGCATAGGTAAAACATTTGGGAAACGAGAAACAGACGACGAGGCAGAAGAAGCATCAACTGTCTGCGGCTCGTTCTGTGCCGCAAGCCTCCTCCTTGCATCCTTGTTCTGTAGTTCCACTCTGCTGGAGCCTGAGGTCTCCGACGGCCTATAAAGAAAGCATCGACAAGAAGCCTTCGGGTCTACGGGGACAGATTAGAAGATCGGTAAGAGGCCTTCGGGCCTGACAACAGATGTTTGGAATGCCCAAATATCAACAAGAGGCCTCCGAAGGCCTCTGGAGAATGTCCAACACCGGTTTGGGCGTGCCAACAATGGCCTCGCCTTTTGCGCACCTCGCCCCTGGCGGAAGGCCAGCGAAGGCCGGCAGGAGGTCAGCGGGAGCCGGCGGAAGTGAAGTGGCGGGGGGTCCAACGGTGGACGGTCGGCGGAAGTCGATGTGCCAACAGTTTCAGATTCAGGGTTCTTGGAGTCGCCTTGGCCGGGTCGAACGAAGCAGCCATACGCCAACTGCGCGTGGGCAGGCAAAGAGGTGCGACGCGCCAAGTGCGTGCAAGAGCAGACGATTACACGCCAAACGCGTGCCTGAATGGCCTGGACGCGCCAGATGTGCGCCGAGAGGACGCAAGGAAGAGGAGGAGGACGCCGAAGAGCAGATAATTACACGCCAAACGCGTGCACAAGTGGCCTAGACGCGCCAAATGCGCGCCGAGAGGAGAGAGGGTTCTTGGAGTCGCCCTGGCCGGGTCGTAACCCAAAAATGGTGCCGTCTGGTTTCGCTGGCCATGCGCTGGCCTTCCGTCGGCGGAGCCGATGTCCTTGCACGTCCGCCCTGGCATTCGCCGACCTTCCGCCCGATTTGTTCAGAAGGACCTGTCTAGAAGTATGATGTTCCAATGTAGTTTAGCCTTGACCACCCAAAAGAATTTCGAGCACCAAGAAAGTACAGACACTGGTGGGTTTTCGCTTGTCGGGCCCTGGGAGGCGACACTCGGTCGACACTCTTTCGAAACTTCTCTCGGTGCTCGAAATTATTTCTGGGGTGCGGTCCTACAGTACGAAGCAACGTACATTCAGAACGCCCTGCAGTAGGCGCGACAACTAAAACGTCGGTCTTGCTCTCGGATGGCCCTGGGGTACTTCATGGGAGCTGGATCGACGGCGCACGTGCCCCTTGGTAGCAAGATTATGTCCCGTATGTACACACTGTTGGCATACACATCGTGCGGCGAGACCTATATATATACATACCCGTCGGTTGTTGAAAGTAGGTACGTTTTGAATATCAGGTTCTAATCTACTTTAGGCGCCTTCCTACTTCAATGATCGAGTGGCTTCCCCTCTTCCCTTCTCCTCATGTGGCGGGCGGACACCCCATCTACTTCCATCGCCTTCCTACTTCATGTTTCTACCTACTTTTTCCGACCGATGAGTACAAATCCGCTGCCTCTCATCAGGCCCGTCCTTGGGCAGGGGGCGGGGTAGATGCCTGCCTGGCAAAGCCTGGAGGGCGTATGCACCGCTGCTGGGCCCAGGATGGGTCCGGCCAGGGGCAGTGGATCTGTATAGACCTCGTCGACCAGGATACAGTTATAGAGACGTACGTGCATACCTACATACACGCATACAGACATGCAGACAGACAGACAAGCAGTCACACAGA